TCTCAAATCTTCCTCAACCTCTCTAACTTCGTCTTGTTTTCCTCTGAACAACATCTTTTTCCTTTTTTCAGTCAATTCTTTTTCCATTCTTAAAATGTCCTCTCGTTCGAGGAGTCGGGCTTTAAAACCGTATTTCTTCACCCAAACTTCAAGTCTAGAAACCGATCCGGGATGTTGTTGTTGCATAAATCTAACATCCTCAGACTCCATCAACTCTTTTCTCTGAGCGTTTCCCATCTTTATGTCACCTACTCTTCTCTTCAATTTTGGACCCTTTTTTTTTTTCTCTCTTCTCTTCGTGTGTTTGTCACGTCTCCGCGTGGTGGTTGGCAATCAAACAGTGTGATTTAAAACTTTTAGTTAAATTTTATCTCAACCCATTCGCAGCCCGATTTATAATTCTTTTTCTTTCCAGATATTTCAAATTAATTCGTTTTTTTCCGCAACGGTCTTCGACAGACTTTTTAGGGTGTGGTCACGGACTTGCAGGGTAAAATTCGACCTTCTATCTCGGCTTTGTTAGCATTCCAATTTCTTATCACAACTTCAGACCCAATCTTAGTAATACCACAACCACTAAGTGTGATCTTCTAGCATTCCAATTATTCATTGAACTTTTGAACCTTCAAAAACCCATTACTCACGTCTGTGTCAGCCAGAAATTCTACAGACTATTGTATTTATTCTTCCCGATTCACCATAAGTCTTCATTCATGCTTCTGTACCACGTGAACTCCCACGACGGGGATAAACGTCTCAGAAACTACTCGCGACGTCCCACAACGGGGACCGCTACTGTTGTACTCAAATCAGGTCTATTCGACAAGATTCTACTATTCTCAAATCAGGTCTATTCGACAAGATTCTACTATTCAACTTTAACTCATTAACCCTACTTACACTTTATTTCAACGTCGGCGTCCCAGACGTACTCAGGTTAACTACCAATCGACTTATTGGTGAACAGGAAATTTTCTTACCTATATGATGCCTCCCCTGGCTCGATGGGAACCCGTCACCGTCGGTCTGGATCGGCGCGGTGTCACGCTGTGGACCCTCCGTGGCAAAGGCGGAGACTGTCGACAGATTTCTAAATGGTCCTGTTGATTCCGCGTCGTCCCGAACCAGAGAAATGTTGGGTCTAAATACGACTCCTAGTTCCTCACTATCAAGAGTTTAGTTATTAATCGATAGACCCAGGAAGAGGCATCAGAATAAAAAGGCTTGACACAGAGGTTAAGTTTTTCTCGTCTGCAGAGGAGGGAGAGCAGCCTGAGAGGAGACGAAATGGTTCTCGTCACCCCTCATGGAAACTCACACCGAAATTTCTCTAGCAGTTGATTTTTATTAAACTGATAGTTGCTAAGCAGTGCACATATTATGGGATATAAAGGTATTGGACACCCAAGGTCAGTTTCTGTTATTCAATTCAATTCAATTCAATTTTATTTATATAGCGCCACATCACAACAACAGTTGTCTCACAGCGCTTTCCAAACAGAGCAGGTCAGACCCTACTCTGAAGTTAACTACAGAAACCCAACAATTCCCACCATGAGCAAGCACTAGGCGACACAGGCAAGGAAAAACTTCCTTTTAACAGGCAGAAACCTTG